TGGTAGGCTAGCTCTTAAATTTGATCTGCAGTTTGACAGAACATGATATGATAAGATTTGAAAGCGTAACCCTCATTAAAAGAATGCATGACACTTACTTGTACATAAATGATAAGTAATAGCAGCCTACTTACAGCTTAAGCTTTGTCTGACGTCGGCTTCTTGTTTATAATCGCACAGCACATGGCCTTTTCAGGTGACGGTCTCTCTCGCATCGACGCTTGACTCCCGTCACACTTGAAATAATAAAATCTTCATGCTTCAAATAATAAAAACTTCACGCTTCAAATAATAAAAACTTTACGCTTCAAATAATAAAAACTTCACGCTTCAAATAATGTAGGAAAATCTCTCTCACTTTACATCCAAAGTCAGTTAAAGTGCCCCAAACAGTTTCAAAAAACGGCTGAAGATTTTCAACTCAGAAAACAAAGGAAATGTTTTGATTTTGATAGAACAATATTCGAATGATCAGAAAACACATATGATAGCTCTTGAAAGGGGGTATTATATTCTGCACACATATGGAACAAATACAATGTAATTTTAGCAGTGAATTACGTTATTTCTTAAGGTGTTACCAAAAAAATTAAATACATTATTATTGTAGATTCAAAATGGTGTTTCAAGTAGTTGTATTTGATAGAGTTATATATAACTATCCAATTAAAAACCGCAGTGTAAATGAAAATTTACCATATATTCCAAAATATTCCATAATTACACATAGTTAATGTACGAAAAATTAATAATATGGATTTTGAGAAAATGACATCTTATTTTTTCTTTGTTTAAACTCGCATACTCAGATTAACAAAGAAATTTGTATGTGTTTGCAGATGTATACCTTTTATATAAAGACTCTCAAGTTTTTACATTTTGGAATTCAAAGTAAACGTTTATTTTGAGACAGGAGCAAACTGTCTTCTTTGTAACGTAATTCACTTTCATCTTTAAAATGAAAACTAATGATTATTATTGGTTGAACAACACCATTTTTACAAATTAGAATACAGAAAATGATTATAAATATTGCAATATCTTTGCAATAGACATCATAATTATATATATCTAGATTGTTATCATTGTAAAACATCATATTTCACACACCTTGGTATTTTTCAGATGAAATCAAAAGCTGTATATTCTGAAAGTGCAGAATTACTACGGTACATGTACCTATTACAGATGATTTAAACATTATATCTACACGATTTCTGGCGTTGCACTTAAGTTTGGTGGGATTAAGCATCAAATTATATTTCAAAATCAATCTATAATAACAAACAATGTAACGTAATTCACATACCAGATTGTAAGTGTCAATATGGAAATAAATGTTTAAAGTAAGGAGAATTTTCTTATTTAAGTGTGTTCTATTTAGTTCTTTCAACAAATTTTGGACCTTTTCTAGACCCTTTTACTATTAAAAAGATCTGTTTATTCCTGTACTGAGATGAGGCGATTTTTGGGTTAATTCTGAAGTTGGTACATAAAACTTAATTTTACACGTTAGACCTCTTTTTCCAGGTAGTTATCTCCTTCTTTGGCCTTTACCTACCACCGACATTTCTTTTGGGGCTCAGCATTAATCATTTTAGTCATTATCTAAGATTAAAACTGTAATTATGTAATCTGTGAATTACATTACACTGTTGTGGATTACGTTACACTATTATACAGACCTTGCCTGATGTAAACACCGAGCGAATCAATGTTTTATATTTATGATATCTTAGTAGAACATATATCCTTCATTTTCAAAACGAAATTCCTATAACACTATGAACGATGAAATAGTTTTATTTATTTAAAAATAAAAATTTCAGTTTTAAGATAGTTTTTAAACCGCTGCATTAGTTAAACCCGTTCCCGCCTGTAAACTTCCTTTCTATAAGTTCCTATATGATAAGTGATGACATTGAATAAAGATATATGGTAATTTTGCTCCTAGTTAGGATTCTTTTATAACAAAAAGAAAATTGGTCATAACGTAATTCACTGTAACGTAGTTCACGAACTTCGACTTTAATTCAAATATTTAACTAATGACAACAGTTTAAGGCATTGTCTATGTGTGATTTATAATTGGCATAAGTGTGTATATCAGTCAGGAGATTTGATGTTCGTAGCATTTAGGAATTGTGTGTAAGATCGCGTAACGTAATTCACAATTAAATGCAAAAATGGAAAATTTTCAAAATTCGTGAATTTTTTGACACAGATGTTATCATATGCCTGTAAATCATTATTTTTTTTTTAATTTTGATAAGTTAATAATCAATTTTATCCATGTAACGTAACCTTTAATGCCACTTACAATTTCGTTAAAGCAGTGAGAAAATCGTAACGTAATTCACTGCATTAAATGGGACATTCAAATTACGCAGTGCAAAATTTTTTTTTGGCTATGGCAGAGAAATTATAAGTAAAAATGAGTTGTTTAACCCTTTTTTGTTATGATATACAATATTTAGCATTTTTATTGGTAATCCTAAATTATTTTTTCAAACCTGAATAAAACCACCCTTGTTTGTGACACCCTGTTTTGATCAAATTAGGCTTAGAAATCCTTTACTTTTGAATAGTAAACGGGATCAATACATCGTAATATCTATATTTTTAAATCGATCATAACTTAACATCACATTTCAACCCCTAAACAACTGAAGATGCGGGTTTTTGTCTTCAAAAAATGTTTGTGACATCGAAAACTAGTTTTGGGGCACTTTAACTGACTTTGGATGTTTAACGCTTGTATCCGTCACGCTAGAAATAATAAAATCGGCAGTCACAATCTTATAATTATTGTGGAGAGGGGAGTTTTCGTTACTGTCACTAAAAAAGAAGTTATCTTTCCTGTTGAAAATAAAAACAAAGTCCCGTTTACACCATTATTATTGTTGCAAAGATTATATAGCGAAGATTTCGGAAATAATTGTTTTAAGTTTTTGTTTTTTTTTTTTTTTTTTTAAATAAACAAACAATCAGTAGATCTACATTATTATTACAGGGGATGTAATGTTATAAAATGATGAAATAAGAATAATTATGATCTTGAAGTAAAATAATAAAAAAATTGATGTGTACAAAATAAAAAAAAAAAAGAAAAGTTTTTTTTTTTTTTTTTTTTTTAATCTACAATTACATGTATAATATCGTGTCCACATTAACTGGCAAGGTTATTATTGTGAAGTGTGAATAATTATGATTGGAGAAGAAAATAAAATAATGTATAGGCCTACACATTTAACTGACAAGATATAAATGTTGCAGGAAAATAATAAAATGTTGTAAAAAAGCAAGATTTTTAGTTTTGTATGATATAATTATTTTTGGTATAATTATATAGGAAAAAATGATAATAATGTGGGGGTACCCTACGGCTTTCCATAGCCAACAAATGTACTTTCGATTTAACTTCACGATAATCATGCGGACTGCTAGTCAGAAAACAAAAAATCCTATTTTTTCATAACGAAAATAGTTTCGTTTTGTCATATTTTCTGATTTACCATTCCCGATTGTTAAACAGTCGACTTTTTTTTTTATTTCTGATTCGATTTTGACAATATTGAATTCTTGCTGATACGAAAGATTAATGTTCAAAACCTGATTTTTTTATTAAACGACTTATTTCCTTGTATGCTAGAGGTTACGCGGCGTCAAGTCTAAAGTATCTCGCAGTAAACCTCTAGCATATGCTGGATTAGTTAAAAGTAAACGTGTACTGTCTAATTTGTTTGTCACTCTTATCCTCTTATCATTAGAAAAACTCGAACTTTGTTCACTTTTACTTAACGTCTTTATAATGATAACTTTTGTCAATAAAACGACATTGTAATTAAAAGTATATATCTAGTTTAATTCTTCGGTGGTCTTAAACTCAATTTATATATGTATCAACGTCGTATTATCAAATCACAGTAATTCTTCTATTTACATGTCGACTCGATAGATTAATTATTTCGAAGTGAACTTCAAATAAAATTAATACAGAGTCTAAGACATCTGCATTTTTAAATTTTGATAGAAAAATACAAAACAACAAAACTTCATGGTAATGTCTATTCTTAAGTAAAACAAATGGAGATAGCAAACAGTATTCAAAATCAAAAGTCCTTATAACAATACAAAATAAGAGCAAATACGGACCTCCAAAACATCAAAGGTGGGATCAAAAGCCATGGAGGAGTGACCATCCCCTGCTGACCGGTCACAGCCGCCGTGTGTTCCTTGTCATGATCGGGAAATAACGGCAAAATCCATTGTCAATTAATAATAGGTAGAATTATACGCTATCCGACTGTATACGAACAATTTTAAAACAAGAAAAGCTATTGTCAAAATTGTGGGTGTACTCTTCTTTAAATTTTAAATTCGGCATTCTGAAAATTAATCTTTCACTCAGACTTACATGAGTACAAATATTATTTCGTAAGTAAAGATATCTCTCGTATAAAACAAGTTACCCACGTGCACGACAAAGAAGACTCACGAATAAGTAAGATTTTGTTTAACCCCTACGAATTAAAATGATTCCACGAAAATATATTTTATTGTTGAAATATATACAGAATATAATTAATTAACGTTATGAAATATAGACACCAATCACCACATTTATCAAACTTATGTTTAATTCATGTAATTTTAATGTTACAAAAGAATTTTCTTACAGATTTTTCATGCAAGGAAGCTGGGAAATGGCTTTTCCCGTCAATCGCGCTCAAGATCTTGTCACCTGTGACCTATGCAACAATCCCACACAACAATTTTGTAACAATTGTCAGGTCAATTTATGTGTAAGCTGCATAAGCAAACATGTAAATATACTCAAATCTATTAAACATGAAATCGTTCCCTTCAAGAACAAAAAGACAAATGCTGTTTTCTTGGAGTGTAAACGTCACTGCCACCAGAGATGCGTGGCTTCGTGCCAACAATGTAATGTTCCTGTTTGCATAAAATGTGTCATCAGTGCTCACGAACTACACAACTTACACGAGATGCCTCAAATTTGCAATGACAAAAGGACACAAAACGAGAAAGAGATGCGAGCGAAAATTGTTTGGTATAAAGAACAAAGGAACGATTTAATCGAGCAGCTTGATAAATTGAAAAGGGAAAAAGATGAACAGGTTCATATCAAAATATCTTTGACATTTTTATAGCCTAAGTTTATAAGTTTAATTTTATTTGACCTATATTTCAGAATCAAAAAGAAATTGAAATAAACATTAAAATAAAACAAACATTTTCTGAAAAGAAAGTATCGATAAATTTGATTGCTTATAACTACTGTTATTTTAGAATTTTAATTTTATAATCATTTTATATCCATTATCAGTGGCATGAATACTGCAAAGAAATGAAGAGAAAGGAAGAATGTATTGAATGGTATAAAGCACAGCAACAACAAAAATGTAAAGCATACGAAATTCAAAGACAAGACATGTTAGAGCAATTCAATATACAACAGCGAATAAAGCACGAAGAGGTTATCTATATTTATGTATATAAGCTGTATATATGTTACGAGAGAGTATTTCTACTCATTTCATAGTCAGTGCACGCTTCTTATTGATAGAAATACTTTGTTTGTAACTCCATATCAGAATGGGTAATCAAATGTAACAGTAAACAAAAGCAAGTTACACAGCTAAATGTGCTACACTGATTTTAAAATCTCTTTATTTATATACAATTATATTACATCTAAACATAAATATTACGAATATACCAATGTAAACTGCTTCATCCTCTTTGATATAATTGATCGATTGATTTTATGTTGTTTAACGTACCTCTCGAAAAATTTTCACTTATATGGAGATGCAACTATGACGCGTCAAAAGTGTATCAGTCCGCTTGGCGTTACATTTCAATTTTGCAATAATTCCGTCCAAGTTTTTGCATTGCATCTGTGTCTCTGTATTGTAAAGCAAAAGTAAGTCCCTTGTATTAAAGTGTATGCAATGACCTTCATGACTCTTGAAAAGCCCAAAATCTTTCTGTATTATTTACTGTACTAAAAAAAGCTAATTACATTTATATTTAAATTATATTTCTATTGTTTTATTTTTTGTTTCAGATTGATGAATTGAAAAAAAGACTGGGAGAGAACAAAAAGGAGATAGATAGTTACAAGGAGAACATATCATTATTTGATGAGCAAACGCAAATATTAAAGCAGGAACAAGAGGACAAAATCAGCGAATTAAAGAAGAGGAAAGATGAAAAGGTGAAAAATATATGTTTTTTAAAATATTTTTATAATAATGATATGATATTATTATGTGTGTTTTTTTCTGATATTACATCAGTCTTTTTCAGTCTGAATTGATTGTTTTCACAAATTCTGATAAAATAAATTTTGCAAGTTCTTTGTTTTTAAAAGAGGAACACATGTACGCTTCACATTGTTAGATACGGAAAAATATCGAAACATTTTAAATTGCTCAAGGAACGGGTATATGTAATAGCGTCATAAACAAGAGGCCCATGGGCCACATCGCTCACCGGAACATATTTGCTAGAAAAGAAGCACAAATCAGTTCAGTATAGAAAAGTAGGGCTTTAATTTTAAACTACATGAGAAGCATCCATATCACCAAAAACAGTTTTTCTCTTCTTAAAAATAAGATTTTTCCCCTGTATATTCCTTTATATAAATTTCATCTCATTTTTTTACCATCCCTACCCAATAAAATCATGATTTGAATCAATGTTTATGTACTCTACCTAATAAAGCTTCCATATCATAATAACAAAACATGACTTTTCTGTTCTATAGAAAAGGATTTTTTCCCATAAGAAAAACTTATATCGTTTAATTTGCCCCGCCCTAACCTCCGCCCCCATAGGGATCATGATGTGCACAAACCTGATTCTAAACTCACTGAGGATAGTTCCATTTAAGTATGACCAATCACATCTTCGCTAGCCAAGGGTTTCTGATACGATACTCTCCTCATAAACCCCCTGGCATACGGTGTAGTCAAAAGACGGGATTGTTTTCGTCACGTGTTCTCAAATGTATCAGGTACGCACAGATTGACAGAAATAAAGACGCGTGTTTTAAAAAAAATAAATCAAACTTTTTTCAAGAATAATTAAGAAGCAAAAATTGAGTTATGTTTATCTATTATTATCAAAAATACAAATCTAAAGCTTCAATATACACTCTTAATCATATATTAAGAAGATATTGGATGACACCATAGCTATTCATAAAATCGCATGTTATCTTACGGATCGTTGTTTACTTGCATTTTTCATTTCCGAGATTAAAGAGTCAAGAAGTATCCTGATATCCTGACTCAAATATCGTCATTTACAAAAAAACAATTGCTGATTGGTCGACCTGGTGTACCGAATCCCAATCAAACTCGAGAAAAAAACCAAACTTCCATCAATACCGTATGCCAACGGATTATGAATCACAGTTTTGCTGTTCTCCAGAAGAATATTTGTACAGATTTTTCCTACATATCTCATTGTAAAACTTTGAGTTTCTGTTGTGGCCCCGTCCTACCTACATTGGGTCATGGTTTGAATAAACTTGATTCTATACTACCTGAGGATGTTACCCCCCTAGAGTATATCTTTTCTGGTTAAGTGGTTCTTGAGAAGATTTTTCCAATATATTCCTATGAAAAACTTCCGCATTGTGGCACCGCCATTCCCCCGCGGGTCATGATTTGAACAAACTTGAATCTACACTACCTGAGGAGACTTTCACCCAAGTTATATCTTTCCTGACCTAGTGGTTCTTGAGAAGAAGCTTTTTTAAGGACTTTTCCTATATATTCCTATGTAAAACTTTGATTCTCCTATTGTGACCCCGGCATACCACAAGGGGTCATGATTTGAACAAACTTGAATCTACACTACCTGAAGATGCTTCAATTCAAGTTACAGCTTTTTTGACCCAGTGATTTTTGAGAAGAAGACTTTAAAAAGATGTCATTAATTTTTTCACTAATTTACAAATATCTCCCCTTGAAAGAAGATGTAGCCCTTCATGTTTTGACAAACTTGAATTTCTTCACCCAGTGACACTTTCTGGCAAGTTTGGTTGAATTGACCTAGTGGTACTTGAGAAGAAGTCGAAAATGTGGAAAAGTTTACAGATGGACAGACAGACAGACAGACAGCTACCTAAGATCACAAAATTTTCGTGACATCTTCTCCTCTCAAGATAGTTATTGACTCTTGATAAGCGAGATAAAATTTTCACGAATTGTGGTTCTTGCTCTATGTTATCCTAAGGAATACTATTACATGTAGACTCGAGAACTAAATTTTCGCGAGCTCACTGGCTAAAGTATACAGATGGGCGCCGGACAAAATGCGATCAGAGGATGCTTCAATATGACTATGACCAATCATAGGTTTTGCTGCATTTGAGAAGATTTTTGAATATTGTTTCTATGTTTTCCAGTGTTAAACTTTGATCCCCCATTGTGGTCCAACCCTACCCCTGGGGGTCATAATTTGAACAAAGTTGAACCTTCACTACCCGAGGATGTTTTTACATGATATTCATCTTTCCTGTACAAGTGGTTCTTGAGAAGACCCTCAAAGGTTTTGAATCTACTCTACATGAAGATGCTTTCACATAAGTTTCCTATTTCCTTGCCCACTTGTTCTTGAGAAGAAGATTTTAAAAAGATTGTTCCAATGTTTTCCTATATTAAACTTTTATACACTATTGTTGCCCTACCCCAACTCATGAGGTCATGGTTTGAACAAACTTGAATGTACACTACTTCATGAGGATGTTTCCACATAGATTTCATAATCCTGGCCCTGTGTTTCTTGAAAAGAAGACTTTAAAAGATACATTAATTTATCATGAATTCATCATTATCTCCCCATTTGAACTAACTTGAATCCCTTTACCCAAGAATACGTTGTGGCATGTTTGGTTGAAATAAGCCCAGTAGTTCTTGGAAAGATGGAAATGTGAAAAAATTACGACAACAACGACAACAACGACGACGACGGACAAAGGACAAATTTTGATCAGAAAAGTTCACTTGAGACTTCAGATCAGGTGAGCTGAAAAGGACAAATTAAAAATAATTAAAATAGAACGGAATGCAAATTGGGTCTAACTCTGTAACTCATGAAAATATACTATACTAGAATACTAATATAAGCTAAGCGTTAATTTTATTAATGTGGAAAACCAAGTTGTCAGACAGACAGACGGTCAGACAGCTATATAAACTGGTGGATAGACGTTGAATAAACCAGTAGTTCCCTCTTTAGTTTTATAAGATTTGGACTTATAATATTATGATACCTATTACAATAGATAAACAATCTGAAACACCGACTGAAAGAAGCAAAAGAAGAGTCTGATCACTTGAGGGCTGCACTCTTAGAAGCGGCTGATGAGTAAGTTACTTGTTGGGAAAAAATCAAAATATGTTCAATCACTCTTATGAGTCTAAACATCAAAATATAAGTAAAGCAGTTAATAGCTTAAAAAATTGAACTGTAGGAAAAAAAGCCTTTTTAGATGAAATATTTTCAAAGATATCTTGATCATTTAGTGTTTTATATTTCCTATGCAATTCAAGTCCTCTAATCAATGCGCAATGCATCTCAAAATCACAACAGATAAACTTTAAATTCGTAAAAGGAATACAACTGGTTTAAGATTTTGGGTCTTTTAAAAGTTTGACATTATTTGTTTTTTCCCTGTGTACATGCATGGATTATTTTCATTTAATACAAAAGTGATATAGTCAATGTATTTTCTTGTATTAAAAGTACTGATCGAGTCTTTTAACTATGCATTATAATCCTTATAAATATTTATATTTAATTATAATTTCTTTTTATTGAAAAAATACTGAAAGACTCAAAAGACTCACCTCAGACTTATTTAAATAAATTTACAGTATTGAAACCAATGCTTGATGACTGTTTTATATTTTCCAAACGTGCGTTGAAGAGTTGAATAGTCTATATTGCATTGATTTATATTCATACAAACTTTAAACTTTGGATGTGAGGTGGATACTCATACAGTATTTTTCCTTTATTACAGTCTGAATAGAATAAAAGAACAATTACCAAAAGTAATGCAACACTTGGAATATTTACAGAAAAAAGAACAAGGTATAGTTTCAATACAAATTAAACCCTATATTTTTCTAAAATATGAGAATCAAAATTAATTCTTTCTGAATCAAAGGAATTTCCTGCAGCAAGAATACACAGGTCATTTTCTCATATGACCTCCTAAATGCTACATGTAATTATAACGTCATTAAATTGTGCATTTTCCCGTACTTTCGTTGCAACAGACCAATTTTCCGTGGCAATATTTTTAAATGCTTTATCACATTAATCTACTCAACTATTGTTTAAGCCAATTCCATAAAATTTCAAGAACATTAAATTTTTAGGGCTTTAGAGGGCTCAAACTGTACCTTCTTCTTTACAGATAGGGGAGAGGAACGAGCGGCTTTAGAGCAGTCTTTGTATAAAGACCTGGATAAACTTCTAGAATTTAGGTTAAAACATTACAAATATATAATTTGCATAACGAACTTCGCCCGTAAATCATATCCAATGTTTCAATTATGGTTGATGTCCCTGGTATACTCTACTGACTTAAGACAGTGATTTATTATATTTCTTATATTTCCATTCCATTCTGAAATCAAATAGCAAATTTAGATTTAAAAATGTAGACTAATAAAATTAAATTACACGAGGTCTTCCATGTCAATTTTAATAATCAACAAAGACTAATGCATGAGATCTACATGCATATTAGGCCTCCTTTACACCGAACATATCGTTTTGCCTGCTGTAAATGTACTATATTTAGCGTAAATTATATTTGGTTGTAATGGATTTTTGAACACGTTAGCGGAAATTTGTTTTAGCGCATCTTTTAATGATCTTTGTTTGCATATATGTGCGAAACATTTACCTATGTACTTGGGTGTTTCTCTACGCCAACATCGATAAAAGACTACAAAGCCAAATATCAATAGTAATTATCAGTTATTAAAGTCGTTATCTGAGGCACTAATGTCAGTAAATAAATCACCTTCCTGGTTACGTGGAAACTCTCCTAAAGAAATGGTTGCACTATAATTCTTTCCTTTTTTGGTGCCTTTATGGATGAGAAAATGAAATGCTTGAAGGCACACATTTGTAAGCCTACGAAAAAAATTAAATATTCAAAATTTTTGTTTTTTATATTTTTTCAGTATGAATTGTTCAAAAAACGTAAAAAGGTGTATATCCTTTATTTATAGGAGACAACTTTCCATCTTGGCGGAGGGCTTTAAACATTCTAGATCAGATGACTCGTCCCAGGAGTACGATAAAAGCAGGTCTGAGACAAGTCTGGAGGTAATTATTTATAAAATATGAGATTCATAGTTAAAATAAAAATTAAGTAAATAAGCTGGCCTTTATTTCCATGTTTCCTTTGTTCGAGCGCAACATGATGTTAGTTCATTTTTGTTTCCAGAATCCCAGTGGCTCTCAAAGGGAGCAAATGGATAGAGACAGACCTAGTGAGTTTGAGTGTCCTAAGTGCAAATGGACCTCACGTAGTCTTCGACGCCTAGAGAGACATGTAAATAAATGCCTTGATCAGGACAAAGAAACCTCTCTTTAGCTGATGAAGCACCTATTAAAGAAGATAAACATATTTTGATATCTTTTAATTGTATATTCATAAATTTACTTGAAGAAACACGTGTATACTCCATTTTTTTTATATGATTTCAACGCTTTTTATTGAACATAATTGTTGTCCAGAAAACAAATACAAAGAAGCATTACACATTATTTAAAATGGTCTTTGTAAATTTTAATAATGAATGACAAAAAGGTTTTAAGTCTAAAATTTATGCTTTTGTTATGTTAAAAAATATTTTGCAACGAGCTTCTTCAGAAATCGCTGTCTAGTTTGTTGTATATGTTTGAGGGTGAAGCCTTTGATGCATAAATTATCCCAAGTATCAAATTGACAAATACAACAAATTAAAGAGTGATTCCTCACATGCACATTTATTTCAGAAAAAAAAATTTTGAGTATGAATTAGGAGTATATGCGGTAAATTGCATATTTTTGCCCACACAAAAGTCATACTTTGAAAATCTTTTAAAATGAGCTGAATTGTATTATTATTATTATTATATTGTATGAGAAATGTAAATTAAGAAACTATATAATTATAGATTCAAAGTAGGTTATTGACATTTTTTTATGACGTCACAGACTAGTTGGATTGTGTATTCTTTTTTAGTAAGAGGACAAAATTGACAAAATTTAGCCATTTTAACTATTAAAAAACAAGGATCACTTTTGCCTTTTTTGGCCTTTTGAATTTCTGGAAAAAACTTAAACTGCTAAGTTTTAGTTAACATTGCGTTGAATATCATTTAGATATTTGATGATTGCATATCTAAACAAGAGGCCCAGGGGCCACAGCGCTCACCTGAGCACATTGGGCTTGAATTTACTCCCCCCCCCCCCCCCCTCCAGCCGTTCATCATTTGAACAAACTAGAATCTACACTACCTGAGAATGATTCCGTATAAATATCACTAATCATAGCTTTGAAGTACTTGAAAAGAAGATTTTAAAAGGTTTCCCTATATATCCCTATGTAAAACTTGGGTCGGCCATTTTGGCCCCATCCTTATCCCGGGGATCATGATTTGAACAAACTTGAATCTACACTAACTGAGGATGATTCCATATGGGTTTCATCTTTCCTGCCCCAGTGGTTGTGGAGAAGAAGATTTTAAAAGATTTTTCCTATATATTCCTATGTAAAACTTGGGTCGGCCATTTTGGCCCCACCTTTGCCCCGGGGGTCATGATTTGAACAAACTTGAATCTACACTAACTGAGGATGATTCCACATGAGTTTCATCTTTCCTGGCACAGTGGTTTTAGAGAAGAAGATTTTTTAATGACTTTTCCTATATCTTCCTATGTAAAAATTGGGTCGGCCATTTTGGCCCCACCTTTGCCCCGGGGGTCATGATTTGAACAAACTTGAATCTACACTACCTGAGGATGATTCCACATGAGTTTCATCTTTCCTGGCCCAGTGGTTCTGGAGAAGAAGATTTTTAAAGATTTTTCCTATGTCTTTCTATGTAAAACTTGGGTCGGCCATTTTGGCCCCACCCTTGCCCTGGGGGTCATGATTTGAACAAAATTGAATCTACACTACCTGAGGATAATTCCACATGAGTTTCATCTTTCCTGGCCCAGTGGTTCTGGAGAAGAAGATTTTAAAAGATTTTTCCTATATATTCCTATGTAAAACTTGGGTCGGCCATTTTAGCCCCACCCTTGCCCTGGGGGTCATGATTTGAACAAACTTGAATCTATACTACCTGAGGATGCTTCCACATCAGTTTCATCTTTCCTGGCCCAGTGGTTCTGGAGAAGAAGATTTTTTAAGATTTTTCCTATATATTCCTATGTAAAACTTGGGAAAGCCATTTTGGCCCCACCCTTGCCCCAGGGGTCATGATTTGAACAAACATGAATCTACATTACCTGAGGATGCTTCTACATGAGTTTCATCTTTGCTGGCCCAGCAGTTCTGGAGAAGAAGATGTTTTAAAAATGCCATTAATTTTTAACAAATTAATGATTATCTCCCCTTTGGAAAGGGCGTGGCCCTTCATTTAAACAAATTTGAATCCCCTTTACCCAAGGATACTTTGTGCCAAGTTTGGTTGAAATTGGCCCCTTTGGTTCTTGAGAAGAAGATGAAAATGTGAAAAGTTTACGCCGCCGCCGACGACGACGACAACAACAACGACAGACAACGGACAAATTTTGATCAGAAAAGCTCACTTGAGCCTTCGGCTCAGGTGAGCTAAAAAGGAGGTAATTTTATAGCTAGTCAATGCATTATGTCTTCACAAATGCGTCAATTTCCTCATTCTGAAAAAAAGTCTACAAAAACGGCCAATTTGATAGCTATTTTCCGATATTCAATATAGAGTGCAACTTCGGATCAATTTGTAGTAGTAAATAATAGAACTGTTTCTGAGGATTAAAAGACTGTTTTATTTTTTAGATCAGAGAGTGCGCTCATATTTTTCTTGACTGAAAGTACTCAAATATACATGTTTACCTTAGAATTCGAGAACATTACAATTTCAGACCTGGACTTTTAGAAGTTTTTCATAGGAAGTGAAAGCATTAAGTATCTATTCTATTTTAATGCTCAAAAGGGACATCAAGTGTTAATCAGTCAATTGGTATATCTACAGGGCAATTTTATGAATAAAGTGAGCCGAGCTCTTTCGATTTCTAGAGCACAGGCCTGCCCCAGAACAATATTTACATATTATTTTATTGATATTATCAATTATTACATAGTACACATTATATCAAAATACTGAGCTGGAGCTGATCTGCACTCGTTGACTTTTCCTCTAAATATCGACGTAAAAAAGACTTTTTTCTGAAAAAATAATTGAATTTTTAGATATAGCCTACGTCATTTTCCTGAAGTCATTTCAAACATCGGACGTCATTGCTTATGAAAATATACAGTTCCTTGAAGTCTGTAGATATCCCCATGTTTTTAACGTAATTATGTATTAGATCTCCGTCAAAGTTTGATTTTGGTGGCAAATATTGACAAATAACGAATAAAATCTTTTATTGTCTAAAAGAATTTTAATCAAAAAAGCAATCCATGTTACGTCCCTAATGACTGTAATCGTTGATATCAGGCAGAATGACAGTTCAAATAGACAGAGATTGACATGAATATTGAGCACTTGACATTCCAAACTTCAAAATTTACATTCAGATGTAGATCATAAAAAAAACACAATAAATTTTCAAAACAATCACGGAAAGAGGTAAAATTATTGGTTCAATCAACGGGAAAACAGAATTGATCTAAAATAATTTTGAAAATTTTATTTGTTGATTAATGTCCTACTTAAAACTTTTTGCTCAAATATGGAGATGCATTTACTTGCCGGTAGAAGGCTGCAACTTAGATTGATACTCGGCATATTCAGCGACTTAGAAAATGAGGGATGTTTTTGTGTTTTCACATTACATGGAACCTCAGACAAACGGTCTCAGTCGAAAGACTAATTTCCACGTGCAGACCTTCCAAAGGGATTTTAATCTGCAACGTAAGGAACAATTACATACTCCACGAATCTAGAGCAAAGTTTCTAACATCATTAGATGGGCACATTTATTTTAAATAGAATAGCAAGGTAAAATTTTAAAGTCATTTAATGTTATTTTTTTGGAATTTAAAAATATTAGTAATATCTAACAATAAACAAGTGACCAAAACAAGTGACCTTAACTGAAAATTCATGAGTTTTTCATTTCACATGAATTCGAAGATACCACTTACCCCACCCCAACCCTTAAAATGATTATCAAATTAAGTGACAGTAAAGCTTTTGTTGCTTTTAATTTACAATTACAAATCTTTTATTTAAAGTTTTTCAGCCCTCAATGTTTAAAACAAAATGTCGAGGAATTCAAGTATTAATTTTTGAATTGACAATGTCTCATTATGTTAGTCAATTTTCTTTTACCTATACAAAACTATGAAGCATTTTAAATACTGTTATTATCTGAAAATGTGTTAAACTTAGACGATCTTGTTGTTGAAGGAAAAACGCTTTCATTTATTGTAGAAAAAATTCTTTGGTTCTTCATTAAATCACAATGCGATGGAGGGGGGGATGCAATATATTTAACAATTTTTTGTTGCACACGAAGAAACCTAAATTATTTGACTTTACGAAGAAAAAAATTTTTTATTCAAACCATGTTGCACAATTAATCAATCATCGGCATTACATTTTAAGGATGAACAGTTGCCTTCGTTAACATTTTTATTGAGGCAATCTTACAAACAAGGTTACAATGAACATATATCATAATTAAGCACAATAAAAATTAATACTTATAAAAAATAAATGTTGAAATAATGTGACTTGCAATCATCATATTAAACATACAACAACAAAAAAATCAATTAAAATATGCTGATCAAAGATAAGCGTCGCAATTATGGTACAAAATCTAAAAGACACTATTCATTAATTTGAATACATATAGTATGTCATACAATCAGCACTCGTACGAAGGGACAGTACTACTTATTGCCAATGATTTCTAAAGTATAACTAACATTTACATGGTTTTGAGAGAATAAATTGAATCGATTTAAGAAGAAAGTCTAAGAAATGCATATCATTTTTTTAAATGTAGAGAAAATTTTCTGGATTACAAATAGTCTTCATTCCTAAGAAAACAAATCTGCTTGTACCAAAGGACATGAGTATAAAGTTAACTATAATTTCCTAATTATAATTTGCCGGAAAAAGTATTTTATGTAGTCACACAAGAAGGTGACAAAGGCTCACTCGTGGATGGAAAGTTTTTAAAATATTATTATATTCTTGAAAAACATGTGAAAAAATTTTATTGCAAAATATATTTTCTCGATATTATGTGCTTGAAATCGATCTTTTGTTTGTTTTTTTTTTAAAGTAGGTGACAAAAGGAAATTAAGAATGGAATTGAATACTATTATGATGAAATCATGAAATGTTACATTGAAAGCGCAACATATTCCACTTTTTAGAACCGTTGTTACAGTTCATTAACTAGTCCATTTTACTTGTAAGCCGGAGGGGGTTGGTACCCGGTAGGGGGAGCTTGCTGTTGCGGAGGATAATTGTACTGTGGGTAGGCGGGCTGAGTCCCTGGGGGATAAGCAGCTGTGTTAACATAACCGCCTCCATACTGCACACCTTGAAGGAAAAAAGAGTTGCAGCATTGAATACCGTTAAATCAAAGGAAATTCCTGAATTTCATACATACACCGATATTACACAATCAAAATCCTAACAGGTAATTTTTCTTGCAGTTTATTTTCAATTTTTTTTCCTGATAGATTTTTTTTTCTTAAATTTAAAAGGGTCCTTTTTGTAAATCTTTCGTAAATCCTTAATTAAACAAGATGTGTTTGTGAAACACTGATACCTCGTATGGCAACGGAGCGAAGATTAAACTTTTCTGAAATGCAAATTTAATATAATATTGGTACCAAAATTAGGGTTTTCACATTGGAAATACAATTGTGAAATATGACAGTAGGCCAAGGTTAAAGTTTTGTCATAAGTACAGAAATTTTCAAGATCAAGGTTAAAAGGTAATTCAATGAAAGGTCTTGTCACAAAAAAAAATTAATATGTAAAGTATTGAATCCCTAGCCCTTAATGTTCAGAATGCATGGCCAAGGTTCAAAATTTTATAAAGTAGGTCAAACTCCAAGGTCAAAGGAACAAAGTTCTCTTGCTATCAAATAAAGGTCTAGTCACAATGACTAAATATGTAAAGTATGAAAGAACTAGCCCCAACCCTTCCAGAAATATGGTTAAGGTTTGTTTTTTATTTAAAAGTAGGTCAAACTCCAACGTCAAGGTCAAAAGTCAAAGTTCTTGGTATCCAATGAAGGGTCTTTTCATAAGGATTATATATGTGAAGTCTGAAAGTTCGATTCCTTACTTTTCAGAAGTTATGGCCTAGGTTAAATTTTTTTCACAAATGCAGAAATCTCTAAGATCAAGGTCAAAAGGTCAAGGATGTAGGTATGCAATCAAAGGTCTTTCGACAAAAAATTAATATGTAAAGTATAAATGTCCAGGTATATACTGTTCAAAAGATATGGCTAAAATAAAAGTTTTTAGTTTTTGCGTAAAAATGGGTCAGATTCCAAAGTCAAAAGGTCAAATTTGATGGTACCTAACGACAGGTCTTGTCACAAGAAATATAAATGTGAAATATGAAAGTCGTCGTTCCACTAGATTAAAAGTTATGGGCAAGGTTAAAGTTTTTGCGGACAAACAGCTGGACAGACAGTTAGACAGACAGACGGATGGACACAAAACTATATACCCCAAAAAAATCGTAAACGGGGGCATAAAAAGTGGTTTGTTTTTATAAGAATGAAATTTGTTCGAGCAATTTTACGCCGGGGTTTAGTTTAGATGATTAACTTCGTTTAAGTACTTCATACCTCCAGTTGTTGTGGAAACGACGGCTACATTGGATCCAACTGGCTGGAGTACTGTGCCCCTGGCCGCCAGACGGCGTGGTCTGATGCAGCAAAAGAATACCAATAAAAATACAAGTACCGCTATGCCAATCAAAGTTCCAATCACGGCTCCCACGATCGTGCCAATAGGTCTAAAATAACAAATGTATATAATTAATACGAAATTCCGGTATCTGATGTTGTCCGGGTGTTTTTCACTATTTCGATATTTTAAGTGCAAGAAAAACTTTAGACCAGGCGCCATTATGAAAAGTGGAAATTTTGTAGCCCCAAACTGATACTCGAAATCAAAATTAATGTCATCGTCACAACTTATCAATAATACAGTTCTTCTAGTTCTCACCTATATCGCTTATATGAAGGATATGGAGATATAACAAACAGTATTCATTATCAAAGCCCATAAATGAATAAAAAAGAAAACAATTAAAAAGAATTAAAAGAACATATCAGTCCACGTTTCGACACAGGTCCTTGGAGATTTCAAATGCACAAAAAAATATACATCGAAAGTTTGTGATTAAATGTTTTTAACATACATTTTACATGACAAAGGGAAATATTTAATTACAGCGACAAAGGTATGTACTAGAAGCACTTCTATATATAAGCTTAAGATGTAAGTTTTATACATTTTATCAGGTCACCTGAATAAACTCAGGTGACCCATTGCTATCTGTTTTCGTCCGTCGTCGTGCGTCGTCCGTTAACATTTGAACATTTTTAGCTTCTTCTCTGCAACCACTGAACCATTTTCAACCAAATTTGGCACAAAGCATCTATGCGTTAAGGGGAACAAAAATTGTGAATTTTATGATCCCTGCCCCCCTGGGACCTGAGGGGTGGGGCCAAAACCACTAACATTAGTACAATCTTTAAAAATCTTCTTCTTTACTTCTGGACATCAAGCAGTCAAACTGTTTGCATGATTGTAATCATCAATGAGTCCTCTACCCAAATTATGAAATTCATGGCCCTGGGGTTAGGGGTTCTAGTGCTAGGGCGGGGCTAAATAAGTAGGTAGTGAAAATGCATTATTTCTTTGAAAATCTTCTCCTCTGCTCCTGGGTATTAAATAAACCAACTAAGTACATATTTATGATGAGCAAGAGTGCCTCTACCAAAATTGTGAATTTTATGGCCTCAGTGTCAGGGGTTCTGGTGTTAGGGCGGGGCTCTATTGATTGTATAGTGAAAATACATGAATTCTTTGAAAATCTTCTTCTCTTCTCCTGGGTATTAAATAAACTAACTAAGTACATAGTTATGATGAGCAAAAGTGCCTCTACCAAAATTGTGAATTTTATGGCCCCAGGGTCAGGGGTTCTTGTTTTAGGGTGAGGCTCTAATGATTATATAGTGAAATACATGAATTCTTTGAACATCTTATCCTTAGCTCATGGTTAATATACTAATGATCTAATTAAATATTTAAGGTCAGGATTTATTATATTAACAGTTTTACAAGAAATTGAATTTTCAGAAAAAAATAAAACAATTTTTTTTTCTTTCCGATGTCAAATTTGAGTCGGGATTGAGATTTCAAATTTACGAACTCGCACTTCCGGTTTTAAGATGAAACGACGGGTAAATAAAGCTAGATCTGAGGAGATAGCTTGGTTTAGTGTAAAATTCATCGATACGAGTGCCATTCAAAACGTTTCACCCGTTCAAAGGACAAATAAAATGCTGACGACTTTGTTGCACAATGACATGATGGTGAGATAATTATGTATTCGTTTCAAAAGTATCTGTCTGTAAATTATGTTCCTCCCCCAGGTTTTAAACTGCCCGTGGTAGCTATTGCATATTCCCAGCGACATTGTTTAGGTCTCTATTATAGCTTAAAGTCTAAGCATCATTCTTCAGAAAAGGGTTACTTATGCATCAGATGTAATGAATAAAACTATGGGAGAAGTTAAGTCCATTTGAGGAAGAAATAAATAATAACCTGAAGAAATAAAAAAATCAACTATTAAAAGGCAAGAATATACAAATATATACAGGCATATAGTATCATTTGTATCAGCCAGAAAAAAAATTTTTTACACTTAATTGAAAAAATGTTCACCCTACTCCCCAATACTCCCTGTCTGTTTTATGATAGGAATTATAATTTTAGGCGTCAAGTGAATTTTAGAACAATGTCTACACATTCACCTAACACATATTAAAAAAATGAAGATATATTGAAAGACTTTTAATATTTTGACCAACATTTATATAACTGGCCCAAACTGGCAGATGATGAAATAAGCAATTAAATGTTCTACTTTCCTATTTGTAAGCATTATGTGTCCAGTGGTAAGGAGCCTATGAGAATAGCATAAAAAAAGAATGTTCAAATGTTAATAATTGATTTATCAATTTTTTTTCCTTCTCCTTCGGGACTTTTTTATTCTCATGTTCATAACTAAACCTAAACATTAAAAAATGCTGGCCTTATAATGAAGAAATGGGCCTCTTTCAAAATAGATAATTTCAGGGCCGCTGGGTCAGGGGTACCAAGGGGGTACATTGACAAAAAATAAATTAATGCTTTGAAATTTGTCCTTTGATAAGCAATGGTGCTCCCTTCAAAATTTGTGAATTTCATGGCTTTTGGATTAAAACACGAACCAAATACAATCGCTGGAAAGTTTTACATGATACTCAGGTGACCTATAAGGTCCGTGGGCCTCTTGTTCGGTTTGCACGTACTAATATCAAAAATCGACCCGAGAAAGTCGCCTAGGGTAGGAGACGGCAAATGTTCTTTTTTCATAATGGCACTGGTTCTGACGTTTTCTTGGCATGTAAAAAATCAAAATCGTGAAATACGTATTAAAAACGCCAGATTATTGGACTTTTATATAAATTGTGATTCTTAATTGGTGAGTATTTTCATTGATTGCAATTGATAGAATTGATAGAGTGTACATTGCTGACGACTGTATTTTTTGCTGAAACTTTCTTAGGGTCTTATTTTTATTAACATTGAATTTGAAATATATAAATATGAATCCTCTGCATTAAATACTTCAATAGATATATATATATATATATATATATATATATATATATATATATATATATATATATATATATATATATATATATATATATAATTAGTTAAAAGTTCTTCACATTCCTAAGCATCTCCACCTATCATGGCTGTTGAATTCTTTACAAAATAAACACTCAGTTTCTTTCTGCATGTTGGAAAGATTTGGACCAAGTTAGTCATGAGATTTTATAACAAACATAAAATAATAGTGTTTAACGACAAAAGCCTGACAATTAGAATAATTGAAAATATTTCGGATTCTGGTAATTTTTTTTGAAGATTCCTATAATACTAGTACTATTATAATAGGTTTTAGTATTGAGGTTAATATAGTTTTTTTTTAAATTTTCAATTTATAACTGTGTTTTACAATGAGAAATGATTGCTTCTTTTACGTCTCGTTCGAGAATTTTTAACTCATATAGAGACGTCCAGAAAATAGGAATCAGACATGCTTACACAGAATAATAGTATGAGCAGTAGTAGCTGTAGTAGGTCGAGTAGGAGTAGTAATAGCAATAACGAGCGTTCACCACATCTGAAAAAGAAATTTAAAAAATAGTTAAACTTCATCTAGATTGAGCTTTCAATACATGTGAAAAATAAAATACAAGTATTTTATACAAAAACATTGACATAACAATAAAGAGCATGCGTACATGTTTACAGCGTATTGTTTATATTCAAAACTCATTGATTTTGTTTTACCCTAGTTAATGAGCTTTATCTACTTTAAAAAGGAGTAAAGAAAATAAATAAAAATGTAATAAAAATATGATAGTATATATTTTTTTTCAAATGAAACAAAAACGAAACAGGTGTCTGTTTCTGTGATATCTGTTTCATTCGTCATCGTATCAATTACAACTGCAATATTGCAAAAGTACATGCATAAGATTCTAGATTGTATATTTCCTGGCAAATTTATCATGGTTACCAACTTCATGGTCCTTAATTGACCATGATCTTTAACCTACATGTTGTTTTCCAAATATTTCAAAATGCCAAGAAACAACTTTTTTTTTCATTTAAGAGACAAATCTGCTTAGCATGTGCACTGATTGTCGTAAAATATTATGAAAAGACCAGATTTTGCAATTGATTTGACCTGGAACATTGTCCTACTTTGCAAATGCATATCCTAAACAGTTTATTTTTACCAGGTATCTTTTTTTATTTCCGGAAGAAGACTTTAAATAATAAGCATTTATTCATGTTGCAGTAAAACATGCTTACAGCGAACACATCTCTAAGGAATTGACGCTTATAGAGAAGTGTATTTCAATCCCCATTACTTTAGAATATATTGTCAACTTACTGGATATAAGGTATTACGCTTGTTAGGAAACAAAGTTGCCCGCCCCTGTAACCTCTTTATAAGATTTTTAACCTCTACGTTAGTCAGTTATCGAGGATAAACTCATGTTTTATAACATGCTCTACGTTTGAATAATTTCTAAATCGGGGTTAATTATTGACAAACAAGTTGATAAATCAGGAATATCAAGCCATCATTTCGTAAGTTCTACGCTCTATACAATGACATTGTAAGCAAATACATTTTTTATTTGTGACAAATGCTAACTGATGTTTTTCATACTAACTTTATGTGTAGTATTCATACACTGAATTGACGATGGATTTTTCCGTTATTTTGAAATCATGACAAGGAGTACAAGGCGGGTCTGACTTTTTGTCAGGGGATGCTCACTCCTCCATGGCACTTAGGCCTGATCCTAACTCTGATATTTTGGGGGGTCCGTGATTGCTTTGCTCCTACGTGTATTTTGAATTGTTTTATGGACCATTGATCTCGAAAACTGTTCGCAATCTCCATATGTTTCATACTATCGAAATACTTTAAGATCGGTATTCTGTTATGACTCGTGTAGGCTGACAATTGCAATACACAGAGACGGAAATCATTTATGGACTGAATGGTTATTTCTAATAATTTCAATTTAATTCTCTATTTTAGGGTTTAGAAATCAGCATTGATTGTCCAATCTCTGACATACAGTCTCCATTGTAAACTTGTTATATCCATGGATTTTTTCTTTCCAGACAATCGATAAATATATAATATAAATGGCTTTTTCTAGATGTCTTTATATATTTAAAGAAGCTACAATGCAGGCGACACGTGTGTTTCTTGGGATACTATAGTTTTTCATTTTTCATCTTTTGTTAAAACATTCCTCAACAAATAATGTATGTATAGGGTGACAGCAGGTTTGCTAAAATAATTTTTTTTTACATGTAATATTGATTTATGAAATTCTTAATACTGACTTTAAGATTCCTTTTCGCACTAAATCTACACTCCTTTGATACCACCTTCGAATGCAAATAATACATTGTAAAGGGTAAACGAAATTCAAATAACAATTTACGGAAAATATAAAGCACGCAATAAAAATAACTCGAAATCATTCAGACATTTTATTTATGAATTTCTGAGGACAGGAAAACTTATCTAAGATACACATTTGGGGACATATTTAAAGCTCGTATTGATAGTGAATCACCTGACATTCCTTAGGTTAAAAATCATTCAATAACAAGAGCGAAAAAACTGATAAAGATTCGTTATCTCCTTTTTGTACAAAGTCGGTAAGCAGTAAATTCTGGATAATCTGATCATATTTAAAATTAAAAAAAGATTTTTGTTACAATGTACAACTTCTATGATATAATTTGATATGATTTATGTTTTGCATCGAGATTTATAGGAGTCAAGAATAATTATAGGTAGTTATAGGTAGAAGACTGCGTCATTTATTATTCATAACTTGCAAAAGATATATATGGATAATTTTTGTGGAAACAATAATAACAGAATTGAATTATTTTAGAAGAAACATCTTACCCAATACTAGAAAGCTTACAAACACACTGAGTAAAGATGAACACCAACACGCCATCTTTGGTTCAGATAAGACCGGTAAACACACGTGACCAGGAACATTTTATTTGAACAGTACGCTATCATTAAATAAAGAAAAAAATGATAACATTCACATGTACATATATGTGACGTAGTTTCCGTAAACAAGGTAATGTAAGATTTAGGTCTTTAAAAACATTGTGATGTGTTTTTTTTATCAAGCACATTAGATCTACTTTTATTTTGTTATGAATTAAGGACTTGTAAAAAATCTACCTTTACCTTGACACTATTTTTCTGATACCGGGAAACAGAGCAGATCATTTCACTTAAACATATTTTTATTTGTTCCTCAGTGCTTTGTATGCACATGCATATAGAATTTATATGTGCACTTTAAAAACTATGTAAAATGATCTGTTGACACGGTATTTTTATCATCATCTTCTGTCTTGAAAGAAGGGACCTTGCCTGGTACCTGCCATTCCATGTCCACATTAACGTAGGCTTGTAAAGATGAAACCTTAGGACAGGTACTTTTGTTAAAAACTTTGGAACTTTGATTCAGTAATATAAAACCGTTGAAATGGTGTTTTTGCTCCAGATTATGTAATTTCTGTGATAAAATTCATTAAAGTTTCAGCGAACGCTTTAAAATCCGACCTATTTTCTCGTAGAATATTGTACAATAAATGAATAATAATGTTAAAGTTGTCTCTTCCGCCGATTTAATGGTGTGCAGATTAAATGTAAATCCTATTATTGAAAAAAATAATGTATTATAAAATAAAATTTGCGTAATTTAGAATCAATATATTTGCTTTGACAATTTCAATCAACATGTTTTTCGACCGTCAAAATGTGTGTATTTTTCCATTAAAAAAAATCTAGCTCCGCCAACCCGAGATCAGCCCCCTTAAACAATTAAATAATCCAAATAATAAATTCAAATACATAAGATACTAAAGTAATTCAAAACTATAATCACTTTTGTTAAAAACTTTGGAACTTTGATTTACTTTGGTGAAAATTTTGATTTACCATGGTGAAAACTTTGGAACTTTGATTATCTAAAATAAACTATATAATTTATGCCTTTGATCCTTATGATGTGTTGAATTATTGGACATGCTCAGGAAACAAAATTCGTTTATTAAATCATTTTTGCAAATTACAAAAAAATACATTTAACGATGATTTATAAAATCAACATAGAAAATCATATTTAACAAACATTTATTGATGTATGATATTTATATAAATAAATGTGGAAAAATCGAATAAAAACGAAGAAAAACGCAATGAAAAATATAAAAAGTTTTATATAAACTATCATGCATTTTATGCTGAATTATCTCAGTATTTTTTCGAAATTTAAAATTTCTTATAATTTGAAAGTAGAAGAGATACTGTTTTGTATTGCAAATTAAAGTTATGCTCTGTTCAATTTAAAATTTAATGCTAAACTAATGCGATAAATTTGAAAAATTGCGTACACGAAGCTAATGCGATAAACTGTTAAAATTTTACTTCTAAAGTCAGGCGTCAGTAAGTCTATTATGACGTCATTTGTAAATCACGTCATGTATGCAGAGCCATCCATTTGAATAATAATGTAGTGGCTACAGGTATAGGCAAAATACCTGTATCTAACAAACACGTGCCCTGGGACTTATCGCATTCAAAATTTAATTCGTTAGCTTGCATTCACACGGAGCTAATGCGAAGTAATTTAATGCGCAGTAAACTAATTCTTAAACTAATTCGCATACAACGCTGTATTATTTTTTTAATTCGAATTAAACTCTCCGTGTGAACAGGGCATTAAAAGGAAAGTTAACAAAATATGTTATTGTTAGTTGCATAAGCTAAAATAATGTACCTTTGCATACAGGTGTATTATTTTTTTTTTAAGAATGCATGTTGAACATACGGGTAAGTTTGTCAACATTATTGAGAATACAAAAAGCAAGCATGTTATATAGTGTTGGCAGTCACAATAATTTTCCAACTGGGAATTTATTTGTAGGGCGGAGGAGGTTGGGACCCGGGAGACGGGTCCTGCTGTTGTGGTGGAGGATATGCGTACTGTGGGTAGGCAGGCTGAGTCCCCGGGGGATAAGCGGCCGGGTTGACGAACCCACCTCCATACTGCACACCTTTTAGATAAAAAAAGAGAAAGGGTAATTATACAAATTAAAAACAGAATTATTTATTTTTATCGAAAGGGTTAGTAATTAAAATAATTGTGTATAGAATATCTTTTTTGTGTTAAAATTCAATTTTGTCAATGATTTCTCTATTTTCTATGAAAAAAACGTTATCGAAACTCAAATTGATTAATACTGATGATAGAAAATTTTAAATGAAAAAAAAAATATGTTAAAAGAAACGTGGAAGAATTTTACTCAAATCTCTTTAGAACTGAAGTTTACAGAAACTCTTTATTAAGTCTACAAGAAGAATTTAAAGATTCCTATATTAAAACTTTATTAGAACATGTTTAAAAAATTGCTTGCTTGCCCTATCCCGACCGACTGAATTAAAATGACCAGACTAAAAACTTTATTAACCCTAAGAAGCACTTATTTTTTTATGTACTCTTATTTTGACAATAACCATTGAAATCGAATTTTTTGGAAATAATACATTTCTCACCTACATAGCAACCAACATTTTCAGACCGAGTCCGGAGATGTTTTTTTTTTCAAACTTGACCTTAGATAATATATACAGCTCAACAAACTTTTTAAGCTCACATGGTTTTTCGCACAAATTAAGGTCACATTTTTATAATAAAAATTACTATTTTCGAACCTCAGAACGATGACATGGCCCTACGTTATATTACATATATAACGTCAAGTATAAATGTCCTTTAAAATTATTATCTTAAGTTTCGAAAGTGGATGTTTCAGAGGGGAATTTATCAATAAATGGTACGATGTTTCTACTATAGGTCTCTACCATAGGTTATTTACAAATAATATAAAACGTGCTTTCTTTGATACAATGTAGTTGAAAATTTTAAAATTTCTTCTTAAAGGTGAGTATTTTTAAAAATTCTTTGCTCATTTACCATATAATCTGGGTTTTGTCGAAATGTGACACAAAAGAGATAACAAAAAAAACCATAGTACAAGGTAGGATTATGAAATATTCTTTATTTTTTTAAATAATAAATTGTTTCTATGAAATGAAAAATTCTTATGCATTTACAGTTTGAAACGTTAAAATTTTGGTGTGGGGTGAATCTTTCATGATTCTACATTTTAGAAGGTGACTCTGAAAAATGACACCTTACATGTATTAACATACAAAGAAGTCAAACAGATATTTCAATTTATTTATGTGCCCTGTGCTAAAGAGCCCGAATGTACAGAAAATTCAAATTACAGTAACTTTACTGTGCCCATATTATGTTTCTGCAAAGAGCTACTGCTTTCAAAAGAACGGACAAAAAGACAACTGCAATTGGCAAGAAACCACAAAAAATCAAATGGAAATAGTGTTATTTTTCAGCCAAGAATATATCAAAGATCTAGCAATTGATTTGTATAAATTATGTTTTGGTAAATGAAATAAAACTCAAATAATGTAAACAAATACATTTAAAATGTATTTTGATGTCTCAGTACACAATATTACATTATAACAATGTGACCTTAATTTGTGCGAAAAACGATGTGAGCTTAAAAAGTTTGTTGAGCTGTATACCTCCAGTTGTGGTGGAGAGCACAGCTACATTGGATCCAGCAGGTTGGAAAACTGTCCCGCTTGTCGCCAGCCGGCGTGGTCTGATGCAGCAGAAATAGACCGCTAGTCCAATAAGTACTGCCAAGCCAATCACTGCCCCGACAACACCTCCAGCAATGGAACCATAAGATCTAACAATCATTGAGAAATTGATTTCGATTTTGTAAGTGAATATTTGTGTAAATTCAAAGAGATTTTATAAATGCATACTATATAAGAGATTAAAGACTTCAAAATGAAAAAAAAAATCCGATCATAAAAGGAACTATTCTTCAAATATTATTTCATTCACATTATATCATTCTGTCAATATTTACATTCTTTTCTTTTTGATATTGTATCTAAATTTTAATTTTAGTACAATCTCTCTCCAGAAAAATCTAATTGAGTATGAAACACTAGTCTGCTACTATGAATTTTAGTATGTACATATATTTCAATTTATTTATGTGAATTATAAACTGTTTTCTATTAAATCTTATTGCTAGAAATTTACCTTTATTTCATCATATCAAATCAAGGTATCAAAATAAAGGGGAATCGAAAGACATAAACGTATTTGATGGTTAAATATTGTCAGTAAAGTATCAAAATATCATCATAGATGGTAAAATAATCTTAGTGTTGATGACAATTGCTCAAATAATGTTAATATTCTATGGTTTTCAGTTTATTGACAAAAATTGTTTACATGGTGCTATATTTAACTTGATACGTTTGTTTGTTGATATAGAGAAGATGAATTTGATCTAGAGTTGCTTACACATAGTATGTGCAGTAGTAGGTGTAGTACTCAAAATAGTAGTCGTAGTAGTAGTAACAGTAGCGGGCTTCCACGAGATCTGAAAAAAAATCCAAAAAATCAGTAAAATCTTTTCGTTTAGAAAAATCCATACAGACTTATCTCTCTACATTACATATATGTTTCCATTATTTCCAGATCATGACAAGGAGCACACGGCAGCTGTGACTGGTTTGCAAGGTACTCACCCATCCCATCCCCCTTCATTATCCTACCATTTGAAATTAGAGACATCTTTATGCTCCGTTCCTGATTTTATAGGATACATTGACCTTGTCCGCAAATACAATTGTCATCGAGTCAAATGTTGACTGACAATTTTCTATACCAATTGTCTGTCTACTGAATTGACGACGAATGCATTCGTTCTTTCCCGATCATGACGAGGAGCACACGGCGGGTGTTACCGGTAGCCAGCGGGGTGGGCCCCTTTTCATGGCTCCAAATTCCATCTATATTTTTGGAGGTGAGTGCACTTGTTTGCTTCCATCCTATTTTGTATTGTTTTATGGACTTTTGATCTTGGGTAATGTTGTTATCTCCGTGTATATTTCATTTTTTCTAAAATTCTTAATGTTCAATGTGGAAGTTAAGGGTAAAAATTCAATATTTTAATCGTATAATATACTGAACAAGGCAGTGTAAATAACGTTATGATTTTATCTTTTTATTCATCTTTTCATACTTAAGTAGCAATATACACTTATGTATACGGAGTTGATGACTCTTTAGTTAGTTGATTCGATCGCTATGGTAGTTTTACGTACAAACAATTTACATATTAAAAAAACATCAAGCTTATTGTTAGTCCATTATTTTAACACTGAATTGACGACGATTTCTCCACTTTTTTTCCCGATTATGACAAGGTGCACACGGTGGGTGTGACCGGTTTGTAGGGATGCTTACTCCTATGTGTCAACTGATCACACCTGATCACACCTCTGATGATTTGTCCTGTTTTGTATTGTTTTATGAAATCCTGATCTTGAGTACTGTTCCTTATATCCATATGTTTCGTCACAAACAATTGATGAATAAAAAAATAAATAGTATTATTTTAATTCTTTCTTTCAAAAGCTCTATTGTCTATGTTTTGACATTGTCAGCAAATGCATTCTGCCTTTATCGGTCTAAGGGACTATTTTCATACTTATTGTCAGGATATTAAGTTACATACTGAATTGGCCGTAGATATTCCTTATATTTTTATTATCATGACAAGGGTCACACAGTGGCTATGACCGGTCGACAGGGGGTGCATATATTTGCTTTGTTCCTAATTTACATTGTTTTAATGGAGTTTTGAGTTTAAATACCGTTCATTATGTTTATATAAAAAAGAAAGTGTTCTTTTCTTTAAAATGCTTATTTATCCTCTCAATGCATAGACATTTATCATATTCTAATATTCAGAAAAAACATCATCACACAAGTTCTTACATGATCAACGCAAGGAGATGAATGCTTATGGAGAAGTATATCACATTTTAACATTGAATAATACTAATAAATTGAAAATATGGAGTTTAAAATATAAAACTAAAATATTTTCTCCAATTTCAGACACGGTTACATGTATAAGTATGTAACAAATAAAATCACATTAAGACGTTATATAAAACAATCATCAAAATCTTAAGTGACCTCAGCGTTGAATAATGATCTTATTTGTGAGCTAGCGGATAAAACTTCCTGTTATAATTTTAAGGAGTAACCGTGAACAATATTATTCTTCACGTAGAGACGCATTTATAATTTAAAGTGACTATCCCGTCATGGTGGTTTGTATATGTTTAATTGTTTTTTCAACATGCAAAGTAGGTCCTGTCTTGCAGCTTTAAAGTAGACAAGGACGGATGGCTTATTTTTCCTAGATCTTGTATTTTGATCTTAATTCTAAAGAAAAAAACTTAGACAAAGGCCGGCAATGCATCCCTTCTTTCCGTACGTTTGTGTCAGAAAATTTAGAAGGAGAATAGCAATTTGAAAGTTATCTTCTCCAAACCAACACCCAATTTAGATTTTTTTGGGAGGGGGGGGTGTTATAAAACTATGATACGCGCCTATCGTAAAATTAATTGTTCCGTTTGGCTATCTAACACTGTTCCCTAAATACTTGTTTTGATTTAGATTCATTAAAGAAGAAGCTGCAAATGATGGAATAAGTTATTCATATTTTTCATAATTATGACGTTGTTTAAAAATCTAATAGCCAGGTAAACAGAAAATTACATAAGGAAATACAAATAACCAAATTAAGACTTTCGAAAATCGTTTGTTTTCCCTGTTAAGTTAAAATAAAGGAATGGACACTTTTAAAGGCTTTAACATCGATAAATTCTAGAAATCGCAAAAGAAAATTATTCTTACCCAAGAGTACAGTGCTGGCAAACACACAAACTAAACTCAGGTGGTTATACTTGCACGCCATCTTTAAACGATGAGACCGACAAATATCACGTGACATTTTCAATAGATCGTTTACATTATATTTTTTAAAAATACATTTTAAAAGGTTTGTAATCTAGTTTCTGAATTTTAAAAGGAATTGATATTTAATGTAATATATTTTTAAACATGCTCTTTTACCGTGAAAGCAAATGAGGAATATTTATCACATGTTTTCCTGTTTGCCCTACTCCTCTCTTAAATTGAATTGCAATTGAAACTATAATTTACATGGGATAGATAGTATTACACAATACCGTGTACTTTTTGTCTCTATATATTATTATTATTATTATATGCATTGTCATATTATCATAAAGACAATATTATATTGTAGCTGGGTATGTATTAGGAATACAGGTTGTTTTAATTCAAAAAGGATACATTGACAAAATTCGTATTTTAACTTCAGTTGACAAAATAAGTGGCTTAAAATTCATGTTTGCAATGATACTATTCTTAAAAATATTTTTTTTTTCATATTGAAACATATTTTTAATGATAAAATCTTTTGAAAAATATTTCTAATGATAAAACTCTTTTGATGTAGCCTTATCCTTTAAAATTGGAATATATCCATCCTTGTACCTTCCTTGACATATGCAAAATGAATTGCTCAAGCTCAAATCCGACATCTGATCCTTAGATCTCAATGTCTGTTCTGCTCTAAAGTGAACGTGATGACTTTAACTTTTCAATGACTTTATCGCAATCTACAACTTGCAACGGTATTTGAAAATTTGCAAGTGCATTCTCTACGTATATCATACTTCTAAAAGGCTATACAATAATTTATTGAAAACACCTTGATGAAACAAGAATGCTATCAGCATTGTTATGCAAAGTCAGATTATTGTTTTTGTCCTGTCTGTCTGTCTGTTTGTTTGTTTGTTTGTTTGTTTGCTTAACCTTCGAAATAATGTTGAACCTTGAAATATAACCCTTCATATTTGGTCACTAGACACTTGATCTCTTATAATGTGCCAAGGTCAATGGCCTTGTGACCTTGACTGTGCCCTATCTGCTAATTATAGCTTTTTATCTGTATACTTTAACCTGGCCATAACTTTTGAACCATGAGAGATAGGGACTTCATGTTTGGCATGCATACTTCACTAATTAATTTCTTTCAAATGACACCAACCTCAATGACCTTTTGGTCTTGACTGTGACCTGTATGGCAAAAAAATCTTTTGTGTGCCTTTCTCATAACTTTTGATCCACAAAAGATAGAAACTTCATATTTGGTATCCATACTTTACCAATCAAGTACTTTCAAGTGACACCAAGGGCAATGGCTTTGTGACCTTGATTGTGACACATATGCTAAAAATAGCTTTTTAAAAATTTTGTTGCCGCCGGGCGCATAGCGTTTCACAAACACATCTTGTTTTGTTCTATTTTAGATACAATGACCTTGTCAGCAAAGATAATCTATCATTAATTATGTAAACAATTTTTATCTACGTATGAACAATTTCTTGAAGCAGAATTTGTCAAAATCTGTTTACAAACAATTTGATGGCCTTCAACAAGATATATCAACAGTATTGTCAATTAATAGTAATTTCATTTCGTAACAATGACCTTGTCAAAGATACAAATACACATTTATCATTGTGTGACTGGCAATATTTTCATACTATGATTATTAACGTTTCATATTATTTATACACTGATATTTCACAACGGATTTTTATCTCAGTTGATATTTCACAATGTATTACGTATGAACAATTTCTAAACGAGCGGGTATGACCGGTCGGTAGGGGATGCTCACTTCTCCTTGCCACCTAATCAAATCTGCGATGTTTTGACGGCCCGTGTTTGCTCTGCTCCTGTCTGTTGTTGTTTTATGGGCTTTTGATCTGGAATACTGTTCTTTATCTCCATTTGTGTCATTATACAGCGATTTCTCCGCCATTCCCGGATTAGGATAAGGTGCACACGGATATGTACGGTCTGATGATCCGCGCCTGTTAACTTGACGTGATACGACCCTTCGGATCAAGTTACTTTAATACTAATATATATTCATCATAGATGACATAATGCAGTTTTAATTTTAGTATCATATTTTATATTCAAACTTTGACAATTAAACATTGGATGTGATTAGTTTGTTAGATTAGAACACTTGCTACGAAACTTTCTGATTTTCAATAAGGAAAGGCTACCATGATACATCTATGCTCCTATTGTGCTACTTGCGTTTTTACACAACATACTCTCTTGAGCAATGTGCCTTAAACCTCGTCAAACACGTGTTACACAAGAATCTTGTGAATGATATTTTAAAAGCTAATCAAAGGGCTAATTGTCATATAAATTCATAGATATGAAATATTTTTCTTGTGTTTAGATGAAACATATGGAGATTTTGAACAGTATTCAAAATCAAAAGTCCATAAAACTATATAAGATTGGAGCAGAGCAAAAAGGACCCACAAAACATCAGAGGTGGGATCAGGAGCCCTGGTTCAAAATCTGATTTACACTACTTCTTGAATATTTTGTTGCACAGTACTCTTCTCTTTTATTCCTGGTAATATTTTAGTCATGAGTAAGGAAAGAGATTTGGTTGAACATTTACTGGAACCCGCATCGTATTTTGTCAAATTCGTCCGAAAATTCGTGTTCTGTATTCAGGGTGTCAATTTATAATAAAAAAGGGTAACTTTTTTTAAATCTACTTTTTAAAACCTGTCTTGAAGGAACAGCAATTGCTTTAAAGAGAAAAATTAGTCGTACTGTCAGCTGGAAGTTGATTACCTGTGACACCTCAGAACAATAGCGTTTATCACAAATGTGTGTAACCATTATATATAATACAAATCTTTAGCCAAACTCAACATCATTGACTTTATTTTAAAATTAAAAGCATATATATTCTTATCAATAAATTCCAACATAAAAATGTATACTTTTCCAATCAAAATGTTTGTAAAAAAAACATTATTTTGATCATTTTTTATAGTCTAAACAGAACACTTGCTAGTCATTTGCTATCTTGCTGGACGTCTGCTGACGGATTTTCGCCGGTACTAGAATTAGTTTGTAAATTCACTGTTGGTTGGACACCATGCAGTCCCTGTGAACCTCCATAATGCATGGGTCCCATCATAATATAAGGGGTTTGAATGCCCTGTGCACCAGCTGTTGTAGGATGAGGGATCTGTTGATTTCCAGGCGGATACATAAGAGGGTTATCTGTTTTAAAAAAGTCATTGTATAACGAATCAAGCTTAAAAATGGCAGGGAAAGGACTGATGTTTATCATGATGTAATATCTTTAAGGCAAAATTTTGCATTTTAATTTTGAAGGAGATTTTACAAATGGCAGTTTAATCAAAGCTAAACAAAATGGATAAGATAGAAACAAAAAAACTTTCTAATGAAAGGAACACATCGAATTATCTTAGAAATAATTCTTAACGATCGTGTTAAAAAGAAACATCAAATTAAGACAGATAAATAGCTTACTTGTTCCTTGAACTCTTGGAACAATAACGCCGCCCTGGATCCATTGTCTATTTTTCTTATGAATACAACAGAAGCAGACGACAAGACTTACAAGAATGCCGAGTCCGATCACAGCTCCATAGGAAGAACCAAATATTACCAAATATGGACTAAATAACAAAAATAAAAAATTCAAATGAAAAAAATAAATGGAATACTTATTGAAAATATTATTCTGTGTCTTACCGTTTTTTTTTAATTTACAAATAAAGCAAATGCAGTTGTACAGAAGGTATGGAAGCCATATACATGCATTGTTTATTCATGTTATTTTATTGAATTGATGATTTCTTTATTCTTTATATAGATTTGTAATTTCACTATTTCAAGAAACTCTTACTTGTAGTAGCAGTATCGGCTGTAATCATAACCATCGTAATAGTAATAGCAGGAAGCTTCAACTTTCTCTAAAACGGGAGGATTTGTTCTCTACCTTTAGTTATTTACAATTCATGTTAATTTGAACGTTTTTTTTTTTTTCAAGTTGCAATGAACAATGAATACATAGTACTCCCTTTAAAACAACTTCAATATCCACCATATTGCAGGTAACTTCCTCCTAAAGAAATGTATACCATCTTCCAAGAAATATATCTAAACTAAATGTGTCTACTTTTGTTGAAAACATTTGCTATACAATGTAAACATTGAAATATTACCGCAAAAGGTAATCCTATTGGATATAATTTTGACATTTTTTTTTTCGATTGGTACGAATTATACTGTAAGAAGTATACTTGGTAAATTGATGATTAAAAGCTGAATGGATTGTATAAAATGTTAGTGATTCTTCTTCGAATTCAATTTTTGTGTCACACGTAAACTATAATGACCATCACATTCAATATTTAATTTAACTCTAATCTTTTTCTCAACGTTTGCTTTCAGGAATGTCTCTACAAATGAAAAAAATTGAAAATAATGAACAATCATCTTTCTTCTCTATTTTATAAATCCAGTTAAGGAATTTTATCGCATTAAAGGCATTATCAGGGAGGTAGAATTTTCTCTTTTAAATATAGATAAATATTTCATTTTTTAAAAAGAAAATGGACTCACAGGCTATCTTAGTTTTAATCATGAGCAAACCTTTACTTTTACTTAGCAATATGACGTTTAACACTACATGTATGAGTGTGTTTTGCATTCACTATTCACTTTATTTTGGCAAAATAATTATTTGTGATCAATAAGAAGGCCAATTTTTTTACACGTCTTGATCATTGCGTAATTAAATTCTTTACGTCACAAATATGCTCGAGAATAAAGAGAGACTCGCATAATTCCTAATAATAAAATAGGATTAACAGTTTCTTTATACATTCACTTGTGATTGAAATATAAAGAAAAATTCTCAATGTTTTTGAAGCAAGAACGAATCTAAGATGTATAATACATAATTAAACATATAAACAGTCAAACATGCTTTAAAGAATCCCTATGTGACGGAATTTATACTCACTGAGAACTGTAAACAAAACAACTGCACAGTAAATTTGTATCAGTTTGGTGTGTTCCGCCATTTTGCTTTGTACTCTGTGACACTAAACGAAATGTTGTTTGAATAAGGCAGAACTTTAATTCTCTTATCAGTTAGAAGAAATGCCGTGTGTTTCGATGTCGACATTTTTTGATAAAAAATGCCTTGCCTTCTCTGTACAATATGAACAAAACAGATATAATTTCAGAAAGGATAATTGTATTACTCTATGTTTGGAACATTTTGTTAAAATCGTCTTTCTTGGGTTGTTTTTATTCTGAAAACTTACCTTTAATTGAATAGGTTTATACGATGGTTAATTTGATGTGAAGAAAAAGATTTATCTAGCTGGATAACTCCTTCCGGATTTTTCCTGCACTAGAATTAGACTATGAAATCACAGGTTCGACACCATGTTGTACATGTGATCCTACATACTGCATGGGTACCATCATGATACAATAAAGGTGCATGTATGAATGCCATGTACACCAGCTGATGTAGGGTGGTGGATCTGTTGATTTCAATGAGGATACACACAGGGGTTATCTGTTGGAAGAAAATATTCGTATAAAGAAACAAGCTGAAAAATAAAATAGGCTGTTGGATGTTATATATCATTTTCAATACTATACAAAAGTCATGTATTTTTATTTTGAGAGAGATTTTACAGAACTCATGCAAAAATTCAAAAAGATTTGATGCTCAAGTTTAAGCTTTTGAAAAACTTATTATGATTTATTAGGAGACAATTAATTGAAATGTGTCATCGTGCCTACGGCCATCGATTACTTTTTTTACTCTCACAGAGTAAACAGTTTTCGGCCTTTTTCCTTTCTGTAATATACACAATATGATTTATTTATCTTATTTATCATTTAAGTTATGTAAAATACGCATGCAAGTAATAAAAACAGAAAATTGTGATTTTGATATGCACCATCTTGATATTTTTCTATCGTATTCATCAGTTATTTAAAATATTCACACACGTAATAAAAGACTGAAAATTTTAACTTTTATATACATACTTTTTTAAGAATAAGATTTTGAGTTTCAATAAAAAGAAAATTGCATGACAGACAAATATATACATTTCTGGTATATTTCCATTATATAAAGATACAGAGAGAAAATATCTTCACTTCTGTGTGGTTTGTCGGAGGTCAGAGGTCAATACATGGCTGAATCACCCGGCGCAATAATATCTACCGTTAGATAAATACAGTATAAACTGACTTGCTCTACTTCAGTATTTGCTTTTCGTGTATAAAGAACAAAATAAGCAAGTCAAATTATTGTCTTATTTACAACGTAAATAAGTATTTCATACATGTTTTGACGATCAATTTTAACCCGAGTGTGTACATAGAAAATATATCGATAGAAACTAGGCAAGCCTTTGTTTACAAGTTTAATGTCACTATTGTCAACTGCACAGTCTCTAACGTTTACACTTATTTTTCGGTAGACCTTCTGTTAAGTCTTCATGATATAGGCTTCAGGGGGCCGACTATAGTTTTCATTGCGCAATATTTCGCGCATCATAGTAAAATGAAGCGTATTTACTCTTTATAATGCAACTTTTTTCGCTTGATTATTAAAATTAAACAAAATAAAGAAGTTATAGGTATAAAAATGTAATTACAATTTGATATAACTGATTTTTAACCGATTTTGCAATTGATAGGTAGGTTGACGTCGTTGCAGTGTGTTTTTGACGTTATAATAATCTGTAGCTCTTAAAGAAAGGTGTAATAAAAATATTATTAAAGAAAAAGTAATAAACATACGCTCTTGAAATTTAAAACATTGAAATTTAAGAATATCTCGAATATTTTTATTATGTTTTCATGTGAATCCATTGTGTACGTCATATTTAGTAATAATTTATAAAAATAGTAAAAATTGCTAATTTTTTGTATTTTGAGATGCCCACTCTTGTAACAAGACAGTAGAATTTTGTGCTTCTTACAGATATTGTATAATATAGTATTACTCATCAAATATTATAGTTTGAACAAAATGCCTTTTGTAGTATTTCTATAATTTGCTCTAAAGTGCTAAAAATTGGCATTTTCCTATAGAATCCTATAGTTAATGTACCTGTATTTTGAGACGGTCCCTCAAAAATACCTAGACGATAGATTTCCCCCAAACTTTGCATGTACAGTGAAGTTAATGTAAGCTATATATGGTATAAAAATGAAGAGTTTCGCCATTGTAGTTTACACCATTAAACTATAGTCGGCCCCCTTGAACTATTATTTTTTCATTAAATTCTACTCACGATAAATGTGTAAATCTGTTGGTAAATATCAAAGCATTGCAATCTCGTCACGAACAGTTGACAAACATCTCGATCAGCGCCGTCATAGTTCATTGTAAGCTGTCGTCAGTGTCTCCGTGTTAATTGTATACATCATAAATATGGCTTTAGTTAGTGTAATCGTTAATTTAATATTTTTGATCAAATTTAATATTTGTTTGCAAATTAATTGGCTCGGACAAGTGTCTCCATCCATCGGATCCACCCATCCCTTTCGGACGACCGAAATTCTTCCAACTTTTTATCATCGAACTTCGGGCGTGTTTCTTGTGTCTTTTCAGCATTGTTAATCATTGTTCACAATAAAATATTTTGAGACAACAATCTGCTCAATATTACTGATCATAAGTAGCCTTTAACAAAATATTCCCTTCGAAATAGAGTCCTTAGCCTGATGAATTCGAAGCGTAACCTCCTTTCAAGCCGATTTACACCTTGCGTACTTTTGTCGGAAATCCACGACGAACTGTTAGTGCGATATTTAAATCCAATTATATTGAATCGTCCATCTCAAATGTATATATAAGTAATAAATGACAAGTTTATAAGCTTCAATAGGAATTGAAGTGGGTCGGTACGTGATCAAATCTTCCAAAAAGGCCTTCAGCCCTCATAGGATTTGACCGACCCACTTCAATTCCTATTGAAATTTATCAACTTGTTATTTATTAAGTTTTTTTTTATATTAAGTTTTTTCTCAACTTCATTGTTTGTTTGTTTGTATGTTGTTTTACGTCCCTCTCGAGAATTTTTTACGTATATGGAGTTGCCAACGCTTGCCGGTGAAGAGCAGCAAATTTTGCACTCGGAGCCATTAAGGAGGGAGGGATCTTTATCGTGCCAGCACCTGCTGCGAAACGGGACCTCGGTTTATACGGTCTCATTCGAAGGGTCGGTCTCCACGTCCAACAATGGGATTCATACCAGCGATGTAAGGAGGAACTCCTAACATTTGCGACTCTATAGCGGATACTATAACTACTGACTGCGCGTCTTCATCAATGCGAAATATATGGAGATAACGAACAGTATCAAATCTCAAAAGCCGTTATACAAATTTTTGGACAGAGCAAGCACGGACCTCTAAAACATCGGAGGTGGAATAAGTTGCCATAAAGGGTTGAGCAATCCCTGCTGACCGGTCACACGCGTCATGTGCTTTTTGTCAAGGTCGAGAAAGAACGAAAAAAATTCGTCGACAATTCAGTCTGTTAATGATGGCCTATCAAGTAGAATGAAAAACGTCAGTCAGCATTTGACTTAATGCTATATTGAATTTGCTGACAAGGTCATCGACCAAAGAACTAACAGAATGGTGATTTTAATCGAGATGTCAATACCTGCCTCGTTTTAGAAATTGTTAATACGTAAAGCATGCTCTTGCGTACCGAATCAACTGAGAGATATACATCCCTATGCAGGTACATGTACATTGCTGCTTAAGTGAGGGATGTTGGCGATTAAAAAGTTCAAGTCGTCAACTTTATTATAAGTCTAATCTATCATCATTGTCTGCCTCTAGCAAGATTTCCAAATATGAAATAAATGGGTACGATTCTGTGATATCTTTCATTTCAAGCTCACCGGGATATGTCGTATCGACAAAATAATAATAAGTACCACTGTCAATTGACAGCGTCGTCGATATATCAAAATGTCAAGTTGAAGGCCACAGCAAGTGTTTTCTTTTTTTACGCAAAAGATTATGAACAAATTCTGCTTCATATGAATACAAAAATAGGCATTCTTATAACGGAACGCATATAATGATCTCATTCGATAATGCTGTACAAAACTTTCTATGTCTATTTAATAGGTATCGGTGGTACTATAAAATGCGTACCTAAATCACTAATCAACCTATGCTATTTGCATTGAAATGCAACATGTAGTAAAGATATCTGTTGATATAAAACAAATGAAATACGGTCTCATGAAATTCTTAAGTATAAGTCACATTATCAAGCGATGGGGTATACGATGAGAAACCGATGCGTTTTTTGATGAAAATGGCGTGGTTGCCGGCCGGACACCACTATTGATCGGACGGTGACTGAGGCCATTTAGCGAATCGGTGGGGTCATCGGTAAGAAATAATTCGTTGTTAAAATTCAACGATGTCTCCAACGATGCCTCACATCGCTCCTCATCGGCAACCCATCATTAACACATCTTTCAAGGATCGGCTGATTTATAGCTGAGCATCGTCCAATATCCGTTGAATCTGATGTCATCGGAGGGTTGCGTAGTGTTCAACAGATAACTGCTGATCATCGGCTGATGTTCGAGGAAACATCGGCCCGTAGTCGACCGATATACGATCGATGTTCACTAATTTATGAGCGATGTAATATACATCAGCCGATTATTGCCTAGGTCACATTTCCCGGCCGGTAGCCGTAGACCGGTGGTAATCGGTGGTAATCCGTGGTGTTAACGATGCTCCAACATCGGTCCACATCGGCCTAGTAGTCTTTAAAGTATCAGTCACATTCTCCAGCGATGGGTATACGATCTGCAACCAATGCGTTTCAAGATAAAAGTGGCATGGTTGCCGGCCGGAATTACAATGGCATAGTGACGCATCGCTAATCATAAAACGATGTTCCAGGATAATCGTCCGATGTATATTACATCGCTCATACATTGGTGAACATCGTTCGTACATCGGTCGACTACGGGCCAATGTTTGGTTGAACATCGACCGATGATCGGCCGTTATCTGTTGAACACCAC